TCTCTCTTTAACTGACTTAGAAAAAGAATGAATACAATCTCTCAAAGTAATCTCTCTTTAACTGACTTAGAAAAAGAAATTATAATTTTCTTATCGGTTTTCTAATTTACAAAAGAGAGAAGAATCAATAAAGATCCTTTCATTTATTTAATACTGGGTTCTTCTTGGTGGCGATGAGAGTTTGATTCTTATATCCTGTTGACGATCCGAACACTTGGCTTTGTGGAACTTTGTCTTTACTTCTTGACTTAACGTCTTGGACGAACTTGCGAAGCAAGTTTAGAACTTTGGCCGAGTTTAGAACTCTGCAAGAGAGTTAATTTTAGAAAGGAACTTCAATCCTTTTTACCGAAATAAGCCAATGGCTTTCCTCTCTAATAGCCGATCTCAAAGATAGCTAACTCAAGGTGATCTAAAAGCCAACCCAAATGATCCAAAAAGCTCCAACCCTTTTTTTAGCTGTAAAACCAGCTATTTATAGGGTTAAGGGTTGCAACTGACCCCTTAAGCTCCATAATAGGGGCTTAATCGCCACATTAAGTGAAAAATGATTTTGAACTGTTAAAATTGCAATTGAAACGGTCAAACGTGAGAATCGTGTTCTAGAGCGACCCTCGCGTTTAGCCTAAAAAACACAGGGGTGAGCCTCGTGTTTTGGAGTTAAAACACATGGGTGAGCTTCGTGTTTTAGAGTTAGAACGCGGGGGTGACCCTTGCGTTTTAGAGTTGAAATGCAGGGGTCGACCCTCGCGTTTCGGAGTTGGAATACGGGGCACGGGGGTGACCTCACGTTTTGGAGTTGGAATGCGGGGGTGGACCCTCGCGTTTTGAAGTTGTAACTTGGGGGTGGACCCTCGCGTTTTGCTTTAAAGAGATAGTTAATAGTAATCTCTTTTTCAAGTTATGTAAAGATCGTCATTTTGTAATCTTTGCATTTGGCTTTTTAAAGTATGAGAGTCGTTAAATTATAACTCTCGTCTGTTATCATAAAAGTCGTCAGATTGTAACTTTTATCATCAGCGTTTTGTGAGGATCAACTATCTACAGTAATTTTTTTGATAGCCTACAACAATTAGCTCATCAGCTTGTGAAAGAAATTGGAGTACATTTGAGATGGTAATATTATTTCTTAAAATTTAATCATCTTGTGGGCTTATATTGTAACATTTGATGACTAGTTTTTTCTGTTAATTCATGATTCTATTTTGTAGATGCATACGAAGAAGAGGAATAGACTAACTCATGAAAAACTCCATGACTTAGTCCTTATCAAGTTCAACGCAAAGTTGAAGAACAAGCATGCCGTTGTAGATAGAGATCTTTTATCTGTCTATAATGATGAGGAAAGGGTCTTCAAATGGTTGTTGGGTGAGGAGTGGAATAATAGTGATGACGAAGTATTCCCGGGAGAGTGTTTGACTTTTAGGCAATTAAGTTGGAGATGTTTCAGGAGCTAACCCAAGGAAGAGAAAGAGTGGAAGGTTGGAAATGTATAAAAGAAAGAAGAAATCGGAATCATCTTCATCGAAGGGAAATGAGCTGCTGGAATATGATGTGGAAGAAGAGATGGATGCATTATTCATGGAGTCAGATGAGGAGGATAATCCTACTTTCGATGCCGATGAAGATTGATTCTAGTTATCTTTTCTTTTATGTTATTCTGGATTTGCTCTATGGATGTTAAACAATTTATGAACTATTTGTAGCTTTAAGAACTTGTTTGTTTGTTTTGATTTGATTATATTTCTTTATTGTTATGAACTGTGTGAATTGTGATTGCACAAAAATTTTATTGTTGATTTTCATTCCATATATTATATGTTACTTGCTTCATTCTTCATATGCTATTCTACGTTTACTAACAACATTTTCTTATTTCATAGGCCAAGCATCCGAATGGTTTCAAGATGCAACCGAGAATCAAATTTCTACAATGGGTTAGTGACCGTAAACATCATATATTATTTACTTTTTATATGTTTGGGCTATATAATTTATAAAGTATGTTTAATTTAAATTTAGGAATGCTTAGATTGTATTTAGACATGATATTATATGCGCACCACCCAATATGGCAATCCGGAATTTAGTCCATGTCACCCGATATATCCCTGATTTTCGCTATCCGACATGGATTTCAGTCGTTCGAGATGAACTCGACATCCGACATTTTAAAACCTTACTAGTGAGGGCTATGTGTTACTTACTGTGGAGAGTTAAAGTAGATGATTGGTTTCGGGTGGATTTTAGGTGCGGTCTTTATAAATCTACTGAACCGGGATGCGATTCAGAAAAACCTTGGCATAGTGAGGAATCCCCTTCATGAGAAGCAAGAGTCGACGTAGGATTATTATTTGAACAACTAAAATTATCTTGCGTATTTCTTGATTGGTTTTTTATTTGGTTATTCGCTTTTATTTGTTCTATATTTCCGCTGCTTATTCTATGCATTATCGAAAAACTGTAGCAAACATATTCACCCCACTCCTCCAGGCTTGTATCCCAGATTAGGGGT